GGTGGTCTGAAAAATGGCAAATGAAATTCAACACCAGCAAGTGCAGCGTACTTAATATTGGAAGAACAAATACTTATAATGTATACAGCTTTAACAACATCAACCTAGAGAAGTCGACTTGTGAAAGAGACCTAGGGGTACTTGTAAGCCCGGACCTACGGCCTAGAAAACAGTGCGTTAATGTTCGAAATAAGGCAAACAGAGTATTGGGTTTTATATCTAGAAGTGTAAGTAACAAGAGTGCAGAGGTCTTATTGCAGCTATATCTTGCGCTAGTCAGGCCGCACCTCGATTATGCGGTTCAGTTCTGGTGCCCCTATTATAGAATGGATATAAATTCACTAGAGTCGGTGCAGCGAAGAATGACAAAAATGATTCCGGGACTTAGAAACCTTCCATATCAGGATAGGTTAAAGAAACTTAACTTGCATTCCCTAGAAAGACGAAGAGTGCGGGGAGATATGATAGAAGTATTTAAGTGGGTGAAAGGAATCAATAAAGGGATATAGATAAAGTTCTTATAATATCCGAGCAGGATAGGACTCGGAGCAACGGATTCAAGTTGGATAAGTTTAGGTTTAGGAGGGAGATAGGAAGAAACTGGTTCACAAATAGGGTGGTGGACGAGTGGAACAAGCTTAGCAACTTTGTAGTAAGTGCGGGAACTCTGGAAAGTTTCAAAAGGAGGCTAGATAGATTCATGGATGATAGAGAGTGGTAGTAACTCTCGACAGGAGCTGCCATGCACAGGCCAACCGACCTATTGCAGACTCCTTATGTTCTTATGTTCTTATAGTGACTAGGCTTGCTTGGTATCCTCTGTTTTCTCTGGGTTGGTGACCTGGTGAAAGATCAAGGTTGGTTCAATGATTATAGGTGTTTAGTGCTTCCTGAACATAGAGTTTGTGTTTCACCCCCACCACTCCCGCTTATTTCAGCCTTGACCTCACCACCCCTGAGAGGACCTAGGGCACTTACATGTCCGGGTTGGTGTGTATTGTAGGTGTGACGTGTTAGGTTGGTATGGTGTGTTAGTGTGGTGTGTAGGTGTGATGTGTTAGGTTGGTGTGGTGTGTAGGTGTGATGTGTAAGGTTGGTGTGGTGTGTTTGTGTGGTGTGTAGGTGTGACGTATTAGGTTGGTGTGACGTGTAAGGTTGGTGTGTGTAGGTGTGACGTGTTAGGTTGGTATGGTGTGTTAGTGTGGTGTGTAGGTGTGATGTGTTAGGTTGGTGTGGTGTGTAGGTGTGATGTGTAAGGTTGGTGTGGTGTGTTTGTGTGGTGTGTAGGTGTGACGTATTAGGTTGGTGTGGTGTAGTGTAGTGTGTTGATGTGGTGTGGTGTTGGGTTGGGCGCATGTGGTGGGTTGGATGTGGTTGGGTGTGATTGGGTTGGGTGTGGTTGGGTGGGTATGGTCAACACTAAACATACACCACCACACCATCAATGTTTGGCTTTGTACTGTGATCATTTTCGTAACAAGATATTTATTGTAGATATTTTGACAACAGGATGATCAGACGTTAATGCTAATAAAATGTCAATATTATTAAGAGTCGCTTTGGGTGAGCTTCTGGTTTATGTCTGAGACCCAAAGTATATACACAGACTGTGCATCTGGCAGCTGACGTTTAGTTTAGAAATGTTTGCCTCTGGGTAAAGACAGACGCTAACATTTCAGCATCGTTTATCTGCGTATGAAAAAATATGTGAAAGTTAAGGTAGAGTGATATTATTTTCTAAAACGACTCAGTTGAAGATTCGTTGCCCGCCCCAGTTTATTTCAATGAGAGTTAATCCCCCTAAAGCTATTCTATCCTAACCAACCCCTAGGTAGCGTTCGGGTGGTTAATCTCCAGGTGAAATATACTGATGTTCCGTAAAATAATTCGTTTCCAATTGTAAATATTGAGTATTAGGTGTCTGATAATTAGGTCAGCTTCAACAGGTAGGTAAAGTTTACAGACTTGAAAAATAGTGGAAGATATTTTGGGCCAAGATGCTGCTCACAGGTCAGTGTTTGTTTCCGGGGGGCTCTTATGTAAGGGGAGGTGCACATTTATTTTTGTTTTCGGAATTCAAAATCAAAGTATTTCTTCGTATTTGGAAAGAATTAAATTTAAATAATTTATTTACAGTCTTACAAATACGAGCGAGATATTACATGTAGCGACCTTGTGTGGGCAGCTGGTGCGGCCGCCCACGGCAACTCATTACACAGGGACTAATATAATGTCCTTATGAACTTCACTAAACTTTTCACTTGTGTCTTTTCTTAGTACGACTTTGAATAAAAAAAACCCGAGTGTTTGTTTGGTAACGTTACTTCCGCTGTCACGAGTACCTGGGGCTGTGAGAAACGGGGACGAGAGTTTAACCCTTCAAGGACGAGAGTTTAACCCTTTAAGGACGAGAGTTTTATCCTTGAAGGACGAGAGTTTAACCCTTCAAGGACGAGAGTTTAAACCTTTAAGGACGAGAGTTTAACCCTTTAAGGAAGAGAGTTTTATCCTTTAAGGACGAGAGTTTAACCCTTCAAGGACGAGAGTTTAAACCTTTAAGAACGAGAGTTTAACCCTTTAAGGACAAGAGCTTAACTCCTTTAAGGACGAGAGTTTAACCCTTCAAGGACGAGAGTTTAAACCTTTAAGGACGAGAGTTTAAACCTTTAAGGACGAGAGTTTAACCCTTTAAGGACGAGAGTTTAAACCTTTAGAACGAGAGTTTAACCCTTTAAGGAAGAGTTTTATCCTTTAAGGACGAGAGTTTAACCCTTCAAGGACGAGAGTTTAACCCTTCAAGGAAGGGAGTTTAAACCTTGAAGGACGAGAGTTTAACCCTTTAAGGACGAGAGTTTAACCCTTCATGTTAATAAGGATATAATAGTTTTTCTTGGGCTAACAGTTGGTCAAACCGATTTAGTGTTTACTATTGTTTGTCTACCTGTACTGTCTACATAAATTACATATCTACAGTCTATGTACATTATACGTACTTGCACTGTCTCTATACATGCTAAATCATTGTAAAGTTGCATGACGATTTTACTGAATGTATGTTTATTTATCCAATTAAACAGGTAAATCGTTCAGGACTGCACTGTTACCTGACGCGGCAAACACCCAGGACAGGTAACACTCATTATACTTACTCCTCCTCCCCTTCCACACTTATATACTTGTTGCTAAGACAACATAATCAAACATAAGTCTTGTTCTCTTACCTTGGCCATGACCAAGACGGATTCCTCTGCACCTTCCTGAACCGTATACGTCGCCTCACTCCTCAGACAAAATGGTTAGCAGATTTGACTCCTTCTTCGAGAGATAGTTGGTGGTGGGTTGAGACTCGGTGTGAACACTAAATTGTTGACGGATATCCATGGATGAGAATCTGAAATAACACACCGAATGAGACAATGTTTGCGATGAACACCAATGATATTAACTTTTTCTTCCTAATACTCTAGTCGTCTTGTATTGATTTACTCATTCATCATGTTCCTGACTTTATCGTGAATAAAAACTACTGATTCGGTAACCACTCTGACACTCACAGAAATAGTATTCACCAGGCAATAATATTTACCACACATTTTTTACCTAAATGTACACGAGGCACCTAAACTGACGTAAACAAACCGAGGAATAACACCCTAACTAAATCGATACCATAAACACCTGATCATCTCACGACATAAACAACACCACAGAGATACAGGTAAGAAACTCGTCACACAGTCACATCACACCGAGAAAAACTCATAACACCATGAGATGATTCTGATTGTAGTATCAACTCATAAATGGCAGCACCAGACCGAGTAATACAGGGAACCACACGCGACATAGTTCCAGTCTGACGGAAATAAGAGGATAGAGTTGATGATAGACGGTAAGATGATCGATGACAGACGGTAAGATGATCGATGACAGACGGTAAGTGTGATGATTGACGGTAAGTGTGATGATAGACGGTAAGTGTGATGATAGACGGTAAGTGTGATGACAGACGGTAAGATGATCGATGACAGACGGTAAGTGTGATGATGGACGGTAAGTGTGATGATAGACGGTAAGTGTGATGATAGACGGTAAGTGTGATGATGGACGGTAAGTGTGATGATAGATGGTAAGTGTGATGATGGACGGAAAGTGTGATGATAGACGGTAAGTGTGATGATAGACGGTAAGAGGAATGAGTTAATAAACGGTATAAGGATAAAATTGATTTATTAATCAATCAAGGTATTTTATCTTTGGTCGTGAGGATTGGCGAATCTAAACTCCTCCCTATCCATTTTTTTACCAATCATTCCAAGCTGTTTTATCTCTCCAAGGGCCATAGCTTTTAACAATCATTCATCCATCTCAATTTCTACCCTCCACTTGGTCCTTCTATCCTTCACACCTACCCATCAACATCTGTTACTATTCTCCTTCCATTGCTATTTCTAACAACAAATTATCCTAGTTTCTTTAGTAGTTTCATATTTTTTTTTGATGAAAGATCGAGTTGGGTGAGTGCTGCCAGTATGAGCAATCACTAGCGTCTGGCGAACCCTTCATCTCAGTAATATATTTTACGTCAATCTAATGAAGAAGATTGGCTTTCTTTCTTTCTTTCTTTCTCTCAAAGGTCTAATTAAAATGATTCACTTGGTCACTATAAATTATATTATTTTATATTTTATTGATTATCACAAAAAACTTAGTTATATAATTAAATTGCTTATATAATTATCATACTGTATATATTTTTTTATATCTGAATATTTATATATATGTCTAAATAATTTATTTCCTAAACGTAAATATGACTTAGAAATATGAATCAAAATGATGATCATTGCTTTACGGCTGAGGTAATCCAGTAGAGGTCACCCACCAGAGGTCATCCAGTAGAAATAATCCAGTAGAGGTCATCCAGTAGAGGTTATCCAGTAGAGAATACCCAGTAGAGATCATCCAGTAGAGGTCATCCAGTAGAGGTCACCCAGCAGAGGTCATCCACTAATCATCCAGTAGAGGTCATCCACTAGTCATCCAATAGGGGTCATCCAGCAGGTGACACAGGATTTAACAGATGACAGGGGCCTGACAGATAATTTGACCGATAGCAGAGGGCTTGGCAGATGACAGAGGGCTTGACAGATGACACATGACTTGACAGGTCCCATTAGCCTTAAGCACTAGGCTTGGTGGTTTCTACACAGCCCTCATTAGGCACGACGAATACGTATTTCCCTATGGTATATTTCCAGCAACACAACAGACCTAGATACTGTGAGGGGAGAAGGTTGTCATGTGAGTGTCTGGTAGGTGGGTGGGTGGGTGGGTGGGTGGGTGGGTGGTGGGTGGGTGGGTGGGTGGGTGGGTGGGTGGGTGGGTGGGTGGGTAGGTAGGTAGGTGGGTAGGTAGGTAGGTAGGTAGGTGGGTAGACGTTACTAATATGATATACTGTAAACAACTCGATATTATAATATTTACTGACGTTTCTACTGACCCTAAATTCAGGAGATGTTTCTGAGGTACATAATTATGACCATTTTTTATTAATGTATAAGGCTACAAATATGAGAGAGAGAGAGAATATAACTTACTGTTGAGCCGCTCTTTCCACAACTCCTACCGGTGTGCCACTTGCCGAACACCTCGCCATTCTCTTCAGGGGTGATCTCTCTATTGAATATCTCACACAAACGTTCCGCCGCCTTGCCACGGATGGGTGTCACCCCTCCTCCCAGCGTACCCTCGAAATGCTGAAGAAAAAGAAGTCAATTCATGTAAAACAAACAAAAACAACGACAAAAACACTATGAAATACAAATATCAACCTTACAAATCAAGTTCTAACCCCTTGAGTCCATGCTAACCTTTTGAGACCATGCTAACCCTTTGAGTCCATGCTAACCCCTTGAGTCCATGCTAACCTCTTAAGTATAATGGTAACCCCTGGAGTATGATGCTAACCCCTGGAGTATGATGCTAACCCCTGGAGTATGATGCTAACCCCTGGAGTATGATGCTAACCCCTTGAGTCCATGCTAACCTCTTAAGTATAATGGTAACCCCTGGAGTATGATGCTAACCCCTGGAGTATAATGATAACCCCTGGAGTATGATGCTAACCCCTGGAGTATGATGCTAACCCCTGGAGTATGATGCTAACCCCTGGAGTATGATGCTAACCCCTGGAGTATGATGCTAACCCCTGGAGTATGATGCTAACCCCTCGAGTCCATGCTAACCCCTTTGAGTACGATGTTAATAATCTTGAACAGGGACACAAAAGGTTAATTCTTACCGGGATGACCTTGCCTGGACAGGTACGACCAGCAGAGCCACAGCCCTTCAGAAATCCCCTGATCACATAGTCTTTGAAATCCTTCTCAATCACAGCCGTCTTAGTGGCCAGACGCACGGACATGAAGCACCTGGGGAAGGCATGATGAATACCTGGCGTCAGTGGCATGAGGGATGTCCTATTAATTGTTAGGTTAAGTTAGGTTAGCGTTAAGTTAGGTTAGGTTAGTGTTAGAGTGTTTGATTATCAGGTAAAATAAGCTGGGGTGTCTAATCTTCACATGATTCAGAATGAGTCTTATTTATGAAAAAATCATGTTAAGAATTGCTTCATTAAATGGTGTCTTTTATTGATATTGATGTCGGAAGATTCAGTTTTTCTTTGATTGAAATGTCCTGAGAGAGAGAGAGAGAGAGAGAGAGTCAATCACAAACACCAAACACAATTAACTCACGTTTTCTTGGCGCTCACAATATGTGTGGAGCTGTGGAGTGTCAACAACAGCAGCAGTAGACCACAGCCACCAGTCAGCAATACCTGTTGATGGTAAACAACGGTACAGCATCAGTCAACCCATCTAGTTAACATTATATAGAATGAGATAAAAAATAGGGGAAATATTGATCATAATATAAACATGTTTGGGTTAATATTTCTACGTTTTTCTGACACCAATGGGAGGTGAACTCTCATCTAATCAAAGATATTGTTGTAAAAGCAAAGCCAAATGAAACTAATAATATGACAGTAATAATAAACGAGAATATTTCGTCGACGCCAAGATGAACAATTGACTATAGACACACGAACTGAATGTGCATGGTGTGGATGTTGTAACATTCATACACATGAACTAGTGGAGTTGTTGATGTTGTAAGGCCAGTAAACATCTCTTACATGTACACCTTACCCTCTACTCAGTGTTCATCAGGTGGCCAAAATGCATCTTAATGTATCCGAACGCAGGAAAGATCTATAACACTACAATATATGTGTTAACTTTAGTTACCGAAGCAGGACGATATATCACGAAAGAATCACTCACACGAGCCATGATGGGAGGTGGTAGTAGAGGTTGTTATGATACTAGTAGTGGTGGTAGTAGAGGTTGTTGTGATATTAGTAGTGGTGGTGGTGGTGGTAGATGTGTCAGCTACGATGGTCAGGCAAGTTGTGACATTATCAGCTGCGCCACCGGCTTTATACACCCGCACACACACGGCACCTCACTCAGTGCACAATAGGGGACTTCCCAAATAATATGGTCCAACAAATTTTTCTGGATATTCCTGTTTTTTTTTTTCCTAGAGGGTTTCCCTGGTGTTTAGGCTGCAAGTGCGTCACCAACTTGGCATCAATTATTACCAAGAGTGATGACTGTACTGACAGGTGGCTAGTAAAACCTCTATTTAGCGGATTATATGGAAATGAAAGTCCGTTATATCGAGGATCTGTAAAATATGAAACGTCCATCTAACGAACTATATAGAGATAAAAGTCCGTTATATTTAGGGTCTATTAAATATGAAAATCCCCATCTGACGGATTTTATGGAGAGAGTAGTTCGTTATATGGAGGTTTTACTGTATGGCAGGTGGTCATCATCGTTCTGAGTCGCCTTATCATCAGGCTGGGAGGAGGAGGTGCAAGGTGGAGCATTTTTTTGCACGTTAGAATTGTTGTATTCGAGAGACCTTTAACCTGTCTTAAATTATTTCATTGTACCGTATTGGTGGTTTGAGTGATGGCTGGTAGTGTGTGTGTGTGTGTGTGTGTGTGTGTGTGTGTGTGTGTGTGTGACATGTAAGATTAGTGAAGTCCAACTACAACCTGAGAACTTAAGTCTGACCTGATCTGACCTGACCTGACCTAACCTAACCTAAAATAGATATGCTAGGCCTCACCATTTCCTCTAATAATGTCATGGAAGCCACACATCCACAACATTGCTAAAGCTGCCTCCCGAAAACTGGGAATGATGTACAGATGCCGTAACTATTTCAGTCCTGAGCAGTTGCTTTAAGTTTATAAAGGATTCATTCGTCCTAACTTGGAGTGCTGCTCTCATATCTGGGGTGGCTCTTCTTTTGTCCAACTATTAGATAGGGTGGAATCAAAGGCATTTCGTCTTATTGACTCTCCTCCTTTAGTTGATAATCTTTCTTCCCTTTCTCTTCGCCGCAATGTTGCTTCACTCTTTTTTTTACAGGTACTTTAACGGGCAATGTTCGGTGGATTTGGCATCCTGTGTACCGCCGGCAAGGCCGTGGGCTCGTAATACTCGTCTTGCCCGCGGTGCCCACCGTTTCTCTGTGGATGTCGGTCACACTAGAACAACCCGTTATAGTAGATCCTTCTTTCCTCACACAGCCAAACTGTGGAATGCTCTGCCTTCTTCTGTGTTTCCACTCTTACAATCTGTCTCACTTTAAAAAGCTGGTTTTCTGGCATCTTCGTGGTATTGATTAATATAATCTTTTTCTCTTCTATTTTTAATTCCTTTTTACTCTTATTTTTTTCGCCCCCTAGGCCCCGTTGTGGGTCGATGGCCTGTGGGACATTTTATATAAGAAGACATTATTGTTACTACTGAAGATGATGTGTTATATCCAAAAATATTACGTAGAATGAAAACAAAAATGAGAACGCATGAAAAAATATTTGACACATCATTAAACTTGGTTGTAAAATGTTTTAAAAATTAGCTTAATTTGATGCAAGCAAAATTTTCATTAACACACACACACACACACACGTCAGCTAGAGAAGGTACAGAACAGGGCCTGCAGAATCATGCTCGGTGCAGACTACTCCAGCTACAACAACGCTCTCTCCACCCTGGAAATGCCATCCCTTAGTGACCTCCACCACCACGCACTAGCAAGGTTTGGCAGTGGACTACTGCACCATCCTCGTCATCGCCACCTACTGCCACTGGCAGTCCCCCGCCCACCTCGCACAGTCCGCCACTTCAACAAAATTCAACCCATAAGAGCCAGCACCGATAGATATAAGAACAGCACCATCCCATCTATTGTTAAAATAATAAACAGCTCCTGATTTATGTACTGTACAGCCCTGTAAATGTATTCAACGTATATTATTATGTCTAAATCACATGTAAGTTTGTATGTTTTCAGCCACCGGCTGCAACTCTATTAATAAACCACATAATATTATTTTTACACACACACACAAATGAGAGAGAGAGAGAGAGAGAGAGAGAGAGAGAGACCTTCAACACAAAGCCACACCGCTGCTATATTCAGGGGAGTTACATTGATGACGTGACAATGTAATAGGTTCCTTCCGGTGTATTAATAAAACAAGAATATTTCCTAGTTCGACACCCATTGTGGTGGTCATGTTGGGGCCAGGAACACCGGCAAGAATAAACAGTCGTCCTCGGGCCCCCATCTACGGTCAACTAGGATTTTGAGTAGTAATTAGGATACACAAGTTGTCAGCTACGAGTCACCTATCTATCTATCTATCTATCTATCTTTAATAATTTTCTGCAGGCATAATCCTATACGTGTGTATAACAGCGCACAACATTACCCGCAGGGCGTCATCAGGTGTGACGGGATCACCTATGACGCATAGGACAGATATGCACTTGAGGGAAGGCCATCTTTATGACGGTGGCAGATGACAACAAAAGAATTCGTATATTTACAAGATTGAGATTTTTGTTCGCTCTGTTGGGGACATTTCTTAAACTGAAATCATTCATTACAGAACAGTGATGAAACATTATTGATCGGGGCAACAGAGCTCGATCCTGTCAACACAATACAACATAACGCTCCCCGGGTGTCCGTTGTTCACTGACTGAAATGTGAAATGTGAAATGATTTCTATTTTTCCCGTTTATGAAAAGGATTCCGGAAACGCCCATAAACCAAATGTTGTGTCGTATGTTTGACTCAGTTGCCGGACACGATCTCCATAAAATATTTAGGAGACGTGATGGTGGATACTGGCTCGTCTAGAATATAATTCGGTGTGATTTATGGAGGTCATGTTGGCAGTAATAACCTGAAGATGGTGGTGGTAGAGGCAGCCTGAGGGCAGTGTTGGTGACTAGCAGAATTGGTAAATATGCTGACTTGGCAGGGAACCAGAGATAGAAGAGGAGTGGGTAAGTGTAATATCAAGTTACCAACAGCAAAGTGTGCCAAACACAACTTACCATCACTAATACCTTTTTTAGGAAGCCTCACAACACCCACGATCCAAACATTGGCATCTCCTTGACTACATTATTGTCAGTGAAGACACTACCGAGAAGTGCTCATCACCAGAGCCATGCCTGGGGGCTCAGATCACTGTGAGACAGATCATCGCTTCATCGCGTCGTCCCAAAACGGCGAAAAAAACAAGCGACCAGAAGAAGTTTCAACACCAAGCGACTGGAGCATCAAGCGGTGGAACATGCTATCAGAGAGCAGCTCGACGAGAGGATGATAAACAGCTCAACAACCAACACCCTGAATCCGATTGCAGAATGGGGTCCCCTTAAAGCTGTCATAACAAAAGCCTGCTGCGAGACCCTCGGTCAGATCAGAAGAAAACACCAGGGTTGGTTTGATAAAAATAGCTATGAAATCGACGTACAATACTCCTCTCTTGTAAACCTGATGCCTATATTGTCTGGTTAAACATCCCTCAGTCTCTGACCAAAGCTGCACTTTCCGTCAGCAGAAGGCAATGGTCCAGGACAAACTCTGGGAAATGAAGAACGAATGGTGGAGTAAAAAAGGCGCTAGATCCACTCCCGCACCTGAGAAACAGTAACGTTTGGAGACGCACCTCACGAGAAGGTGTTAATACCTTCGAATCAACTCGATTACATGCCGAGGCAGACAAATCCCAGTGCTGAAAAGACGCTGTCGCCGCCCTTCCCGCATAAGGTGTACTGTAGCCCTCCACACGTGCAACTTTGAGGACGACCCTACCAGTCCCGTATATAATATATATATATATGGGTCTCTGGAGCCACCTCAGAGCTCACCAACGAAGGTGACACCATTCTGTCATCGCTAGATGATCGTCATACTCGAATCCGAGTCACAGCTAAGTAGTGGTGGTAGAAGCAGCAGCATGAAGATTGTTGTAGTAGTGATAGTTTGAAGGTAGTGTTGGCGGTGGTGGTGGCTGCTGCAGAAAGCTTATATTCGTGTTTTCTAACGAAACGACTGGTTATGTTCTCCATACGAGATAATGTACTTAAATAAGTCGCGTCACACATGCCGCCTGGTGCTCGATCATCCCTCACTACCACAGCTAATTTATTTATTTTTTAATTTTTTTTAATTTTGCAGCTAGTTTAGCAGCTAGTTTATTGTGTACACCATACTCATCCTGTGAGCGGTAGAACAAAAAGGATATTATGGCACTGAGTGTTAATAGTATTTCCAATTGTAGCTTCCAGTACCCTAGGGAGTTACGGTACCTTCCTGCCTGTAACTGACAAAACCTTAAGTATTTCTCGTATTTCATTGTTAACCTCACACACCAGCAGCGACCACCTGTTTATGATGAGTGTACAGGTAGATACAGTGACGAAGAATCAATAGTCGTGTTTTAAATAGGGAAATGTAGAGACGAGGAGCGAAGATGGAACAGTAATGTTATCAACTCTCTTGTGTCTGGAGGAGCTTCAGTGTCTAGGGAAGACGATAGTTTATTAATTTACGACGATGATGAGTAATATAAAGAAGGTAATTTCTGTCTCATGCGAAAAACTGTTGAAGTGACTACAGGATGAACTATATTACGAACTATATTATTAAACAGGATGAACTATACTGTAGTACCAATAATACTATGAAAAAAAATCGTTGTTTTCGCATCCATGAACAGAGGAAAGATTACACATCAATACTAAAATTTAATTAAAAAATTTATTTCTGCCTGTGTATTACAAAAGTTTCTCAGAGAATTATTTCATTACAGACACATTCTTCAAGTCTCCCTCATGACATAAGACACACACAACATGAACCTGAAGTACGATATTGATTCATGCAGACTAATACAGTAATTTTCTTGACTCGTGCGTAAAGGCAGTTTTCCTATTAAGGTGAAAGGTGGGTGAATAAGACCAGACTTCCCACACTTAGCAACTAACAACTGGAACTGTAGCTCACCCAACCACGTAATAGTCAAGTTCCTACTCCACCTCAAGGTC